TAGTGTAGAGCCTTTTCATAAGTTGAAAATTACTTTTAAATTAAAGTTAATAAATTAAAGTTTAAAAAAATTAATTTTTTTATGATTAAATAAAGCTGTTATGAGAGTTTTGAAAGAAGAAAGATGAAATAATTTGTTACTAGGATAAAGAGTAAAAATCATATACAAATACAAATTTAAAATAAGGATAAACTTAAAAAATAAATATGAAAACTCAAAAATTAATATATATTTAAAAAATACTTCTCTCAAAAACTTTTAACTTCTTTTTTTAATGTGTTATAGCAAAATGTTTTTTTTTTATAATAAGAGCTTATGTAAGAACATGTTTAGCTGTTTACCACACACACACACACACATATATATATATATATGAGGTAGGATCCTTTGACATCAGTATTAAATTTAAATTTTGACACCTCATCTAGGAGCCATTAGATCAAAAAAGATCAATGGTGTCACATGCTTACAAATCAGAGTCGTTGATCTTTTTTGATCTAATGACTCTCACATGAGGTGTCAAAATTCAAATTTGACACCGGTGTCAAAGGATCCTACCTATATATATATATATATATATATATGGTAGATACAAATTATGTTTTGATGATAACAAAGTGGCAACAACAAAAAAGCAAGATCGTTTGATCAAGAGCAAAAAGCATCAACCATATGTGGATATTGAAGATGTATGATGTAGCCACACAATAAGAGTGATGTCATATCAAAGTGGCAAGATCATTGGATCAAGAGTAATAAGAAATAATTAGAAGAGCAATAACAAGATCAAAGACAACTAACCATGGACAACATCTAAGAGAAACTCAATATCATAACCATGGTGAAAAATGATCAAAACCAACAAAGTGTCAAGCATTGTCATATTCAACAAGTCAAAGCATCAAGTTCAAGAAAAGATCCAAGACAAAAGATATGAAGCAAAGTCTAAAATCATATTTAAAATATATCTTTAGGACTTAGAATATATGTGAGGGTATATGATAGATTGCATTGCATGAGCTCAAAGTTTTTCTCAAAGTAAATGTGTTTTTCAAATTGCATAATCATAACCTTTATATACTTGAAAGAAATTTGAAAAATTCATGGAAAAGATCATTGACATATTTTATAACTTAAAAATATATTTATCAAGTCAAGATCTTTCACAAAAAGTAGTTGGAAGCAAGCTAGAACACATTTGAACTTAAAATTTGTTGCTTAATTTTGCTGCTGCCTTCCATACAATTTTTCGTATCTAATATGATGGATTTGGATCTTGTGTTCTTCATAAAAGTTGTATATCTCTCTTTTATCTTTCCAAAGAGACCAAGATCACATCAATCCGACAAGTGTAACTCCAATTATAGCCAAAATACGAAACATCATTCTTGCTGTCAGTTGGGAATCGACTACCACTGCAACAGATCCCAACGACTATAAAACGGCTAGTTTTTCAAAAGTGGTCCCAACGGCTATAAACAGCTATAAAACGACTAGTTTTTCATATGAGATCCCAACGGCTAGTTTCCCAAAGGCTATAAACGACTAATTTTTCAACGACTAGTTTTCCAACGGCTATAAACGGCTAGTTTTCAATGAAAACACTATATATGCATTCACAATGACTCAAAAAGATTGGGCATCATTTTTACACATATTAAGCATGCTTTGAGAGCTTATACACTATCATTTTCATATTCTTTCATATCTTTCAAAGATCAAACATATTTGATCTCATATCTTAAAAATTCATATACCCATAGTGCTTCAAGTTGTATATCTACACTCTGAGAGTATATATTCATTTCTAAATATTTCCCTCCTTGTATTCTTGAGTTGAAAGGGTTGTGAGACCCATTGTTTGAGAGGTGGCCAAATACCTAAGTAAATTTGGAGTGAATTGTAAGGTTACCAAGTACCCATAAACTTGGAGATTGAAAGGTATCCAAGAACCCGAATTCTTGGAAGATTGTAAAGGTTTGTCAAGCACCCGTGAAACTTAACCATTAGTAAAAGAGTTGATCGAGCGGCTTCAGTCTGGACGTAGGTCACAAGTGGTCCTGACCGAACCAGGATATATAGTGTTTGCAATTCTCTAAACTCTAACCTCTTTATTTCTATCACTTTAATTGCTTCTTTTGATATCTTGTATGTGCTAGTATAAATTCTACAATTGTGATACATTATATGTTATGGATTGTTTAAATGCATTGATTAGCTTTTCATATGTCAAAGTGTGCATGAAAAGATTATTTAGAAACTAGAAGGGGACTTTTGCGAAAATCTTGTAATACTCAATTCACCCCCCTCTTGAGTTCACATTCCTAACATATATATATATATATATATATATATATATATATATATATATATAAGGAAAAATATTTCTCCAGTCACCGGAGATAAAATTATCTCCAGTGAGCTCAAAACGATGTCGTTTGGGGTTATAAAATTAAAAAATTATAATAATAAAGACTAATATAACCCTGCAATATATTAAAATTACAAAAACATCCTGATCTCCGTCCCAAAACGACATTTGGGCTCACTGGAGATAATTTATCTCCATTGACTGGAGAAATCCTTTACCCATATATATATATATATATAGAGAGGTAGGATCCTTTGACATCAGTGTCAAATTTAAAATTTGACATCGGTGTCAAATTTAAAATTTGACACCTCATCTGAGAGCCATTAGATCAAAAAAGATCAACGACTCTGATTTGTAAGCATGTGACACCATTGATCTTTTTTGATCTAACGGCTCTCAGATGAGGTGTCAAATTTCAAATTTGACACTGGTGTCAAAGGATCCTACCTCATATGTATATATATATATATATGAGAAAAATATTTTTCCGGCAACTTGAGATAAGTTTATCTCCTGTCACCCCAAAATAATGTTATTTTGTTTATTTATTTCCTTATATTAATTGATTCACCTTTGAATAGTTATGATTCCATTTTTCTCTCTTTTCCTTTATCACCATTGATCCACCTTTGTACGTAGGGTTGGCAAAATGGGTCGACCCGACCCGACCCAACCCGCATGCAACCTGAAAAAAACGAGACGGGTTAGGGTTGACTCGAAAAAAAGAGACCCATAAAACCCAACCCAACCTGACCCGAGTCGGGTTAGGGTTAGCTTGCAGGTTGGTTTGAAAAAATAGGTCGCGAGTTGGCTTGAAAATTGACTCGCAGGTTGACTCGAAAATTGCTCGCGGGTTGGCTCGTTTTTAGCTTATTTAAATGAACCTGTAGTATTAATGCCCCAGCTATGTGGCTTCCTTCAGCTTAAACAAAGGGTTACAAAATGAGAAATAAAAGCAAAATATTTTAGTTGAAAATTTAATTCACAACAAATTTGCACCAACATCAAGAAACAATCAGAACCACTTGTTAACAAGTGGGTAAGATTTGAACCAAACAGAGCCAACACAACTAACAATATAAAAATGGCAGAGATGTGAGAAGATTATGGACTTAGGTTTAGATAAGGAAGAAAGACGATAACAACATGTGTGGATTTTGTTCATTTTTGTATATTATATTATGTATTTTTTTTATATAAAAAAACAACTCAACCCGCGAGCTGGCTCATTTGACCCGCGGGTTGGCTTGTTTTTTTCTAGTTGGCTCGGGTCGGGTTGGCAGCTCATTTTTGCCAACCCCACCCGGCTCATTTTTTACGGGTTAAGAGCCAACCCGACGAGTTGACTCGTTTTTGCCACCCCTATTTGTACGGTTATAATTTAGTAGCCGGAGATAAAATTATCTCAAACAACTTGAGAAATGATAAGTAATGATAAGTCATATATATATATATATATATATATCGCTAAGTTTCTGCAATCACTTAGTTAGTGGTTCATGGATTGGTTGTGAATTTTTTAAACTTTAAAATATCAGCAAATATATGAATTATACACGTAAGTATAATCCAATAAATATATATAAGATCGATCATGCATAGATTAAATAATTCTGGATCTTAACTCGATCCAAGATGATTAAGATTCAAATTGCACCAACATTAATTTTAATATTAATAAAGCCGAAAATGTATTCTCACTTAATGTATCTAATGAACTTCTAGTAGAAAAATATGTGTTTATGGTAGATCTTTCTATCAACAAAACTTTAATAAAAATAAGGAAAAAATATTTATTTTCAGGAAATGAAATTGTCTCTAGCAATCCCAAAATACAAAATGATATTATTTTGGGGTTAAAAAAAAGTACAAGATATTTTGAAAATTTTACTTTCATTTTATACCATGTATTTTACTAAAGAACGTTGTAAGATATAATTTTATTTTCTATTACAGGATAAATATTAATTCTAAAAAACAATAAAGTGTATACTTTATATAGTTTTCTAATTAATAATAAAAAGATATTATATTTACAAATTTTTTGTTTACAAGCTGAATTATGTATTTCAGGGAGTATAAATATTTGAGTGTGAACTGCTCAGAATACAAATATTTGAGTATGGACTCCCCTGAGTACACAATTGAGTTTGTAAATAAAAAATTTATAAATATAACATGCCTTTTAATAATAATTTCTTAAATAATCAAATGTATCTGCTTAAAATTCACATCCAATAATTTCTACCAAAACTCGGATAGAGTTAAAAAAAGGTAAGCATGAAAAAAACATGATTGAACTCATTTAAGATTTGTTCATATTACTGTTTGGCAAAGAAAAAAAATAAGCATTGGGAGCTCAAGGAACTTGAAGTTCCACTCACGGGGTGCAGGACACTTGTGTTGTGATTGAAAATTTTGAAACTGATTTATTCTTTCTTTTGTTTTATTGTTTTATAAATAATTTGATATTTAATTTGAAAAGTATTGCGTTGGGTTTGAAATCACCCAAACAATATATTAGAGCTAGTGTAATGGTAATTAACACGAAACAATATTTCATACTTCAGTAGTAGAGTTGCCAATATTCAAATAACATTTTGATCAGTCCTAGCTAGCCATATCCTTATCGAGCCTTGATGACAAGCTTGTTTATAGTACGAGCATTGACATCAAAAAGGTTCTCAAGTGACTTGGTTTTTCTGTTCCGAACTCTACCTGTTTCCTTCAACAACTCATCCAACCTTCTCTTCTCATCAGCAACATCAGGATTTGCTGTCCCAAGCTTTTCCTCCCTCATAACCACAATGTACTCCAGAATTTTAATTGCATCATCCACCCTGAAATAGAATATCAAAGCGCATGAGGAAAATAACTCTCACATAACCATTTCTTTGGTGATCTATTCTAATCTAAAACTCTTGCAATTCATGAAGCAATACATTCCATATCATGTCAGAAAATGTCACTCTTCCCATTTCTACTAATTGTTATTTTCTGAATCTTGGTCCTCTTTTTTTTTTTTTAAGGTAAGGATAATTTTTTGTTATGATAGAAATTGACACAAACTTCTTCGATGTTAAAATGTGAAAAAGGTTTTAGAAGGTGAATTAGACTTATCTGTCTCATAATTTGTCTTTGTTCAAGTCACCAATTTGCTCCCACACAAAAACTTGTTGGGAAATTCGTTCCCTCAAACTCCAATGTCAAGCGGGTCCAGGGGAAGCCTGTGGCGGGGAACCACCACCAATGAGCTAAGGCTACACCAATCGTAGCAAGTGGATCCGACACCATGTCTCAACCCAAAACCTTAAGGCATTGGGTTCATGAGTCATTTCACTTATATACTCTTCACTTAGCTCATTACCAACCAATGTAGGACTCATCATACTTGAATATCTCAACAAAACTAAAGGAAACGTGGGCAAACATCAAACCTAGTAGACTAATTCATTAAACATATTCAAATCATAGACATTATACTCATTATCAATATTAGTAGCACGACTTAATATATACCAAACCTAGTAATATACAAAATCACAAACAACTTACTAGCCTGCTTCGCATAATGCCACAGTAACTAAAGGACTGCAAATGCTCTAGTCGTGAAAGAAGATTTGCAAATAGAAGAGGGTATAACCCAAAGAAATAAAAAGAAAACACAAAAGGGTGGATACCTGCCCATTGCATCATACGTGCCAGCAAGATTGCTATATACCCCAAGCGTTTCAGGGTGATAGGGTCCAAGCTCTTGTTCCAAAACAATCTTAGCTTCCTCAAATAACTCTGCAGCCTCACTTAAGGCACAACGCTGCACACAGACAAGTCCCATTTGATTAAGAACAACACCAAAGAAGGCTGATTTCTTCTCCCCGGTAGCACGAAGCTTTGAGACAGCATTCTTGAAAGCATTGTAAGATTCAGTATGATTCTCCAACGTGTAGTACATGACCCCCATCTGAGCTTCAATCCCTGCTATTGTCCTTTGGTGACTAGGGGCATTGTTATGTATCTCTAGTGCCTTGTGGAGTAACTTGAGTGCGGGTTCAAGCTCATTCATTGATTCATAGATAGCTGAAACATTAGTAAGACCAGTAGCAATCTCTTCTGGAGGGACCCCAGGCATGGGATTCTCATAGATTCTAAGTGCACTCTCACAAAATAACTTTGATTCCCTTATCTTCCATGTCCTATTATACAATTCAGCAAGACGTACAAAGACTGATCCCACAGCAGGATGATTCTCTCCTTTGTGTGTCTTGAAAACTGTTAATGCTTTCTGATATGCAAAGATGGCCTCATCATATCGAGCCAAGGATAAGTATGAGTCTCCAACGCTGCAATCAACAGAGGCCACTTCCACTTCCTGGCCATTTGTTACCATTGCTATGCTGGCTAAAACAAGATGCTCCAATGCTGCTTCATGATTTCCAATTGTTTCACATATAAGGCCCATAAGCCTCCTGTCAGCAGCCTCTTCAAGAGATGAGGGTGAACCATTAGCTCTATGAATGTCAAGAGCCATTTGGCATAGCCTCTCTGCCTCAACAAATTCCAATGCATGAAAATTGGCTTCAGCCACATACCTACAAGTTTCACCAACTCTTGGGTCTGTTGCTCCCAAAACCTGCCTTTGTACTTCCAACCCTGCAGTGTAACACATAATTGAATTCTCAAGCTGTCCCAGTAAAGCATAAGTGTCCCCTAATTGCATGTAACCAGCAAATTTAGCAATGGCATGTTGTTGACCTTCCTCAGTAAGAGGAATCTCAATCGAACGCTTAATAATTGGAATAGCCTCATTGTAAAGGTCCAAGCTGCAATATATTGCTGACACAACATGTAAACACATAACCAGATCCAAACTTGGTTTCCCATCAGCAGCCTTCTCAAAAAATTTCATTGCTCGAAGAGCTGATTCAAGAGCTTTATGCGGATTATCCCCTGATGACATCAGGTCCCTTGCTTGGTTTAGTAAAACTGGTCCCATCTCAGTCTTATCTAATGCTGATTCAGTCGATTTCTCAACTAGATTTAATGACACTGATCTTCCAACAGAAGAATGCTTTGATGTTTTCACGCGAGTAACTTCTGTATTTTGTTTTCTCAAAGGGTTATTGTTTTTCCTATCCACAGGAGGTTTTGAAGGAGGACTTTTTCCTTTGGGCTTTGATTTTGATGATGTTATGTCTGGTTTTTCTGATAAAACAGAAATTGCAGTTGAAGGCTGAATCTTATCAACCTTACCTAACTTCTTATTATTGGACGGACTAACCATTCTGGAAGATGCTTCACCGCTAGAATCAGATCCAAAACTTTGTCTTTGTGGACTCAGTGCACTCCTTGGGGACCTGATTGGAGTAAAGATTTTCTTGGAGGGGGAAGGGTTCCCAATTCCATTCATTTCATTTACTTCCCCTACATCACGGACACCAATTGTAACAACTCCATGCATGTTTGATTCCCTAGGAACCAGAATCACCGGGACAACCAATAAGAAACACAGAACCAAAAAAATTTATACTAGTCAAGAATCCACAAAATAAACCCTTCATCATGTACCCCCAACCAAAAAGAAAAGGAAGGAAAAAAAAAAAAAAAAAAACTAGTCAAGAAAAGGCACATGTTATAAGATAATTCGAAGTCATGCAAAGCAAAAAGAACGTAGTAGAAAATCATTTAAAAAAAGGTGAAAGGAAATCCAATCGACAACATTAGAGAGATGTCACAATAAGAATATTGATGTGTTATATACTATTTATATCAACGAAGATAGAATTGTTATTGTTTATCAACGCCAGACGATTTCAAAGAAATCCATCATTGCAATTTTGCAAGAGTTTTGGCTTGTTCTATTCCCTGCTGCTATCAGGGATAATGACCGGATACCCATTGGAAAAATCAAATAATTATTAGACAATACATAACCAAGTTGTGCATGATTAATTCTAAAAACACAAAATATATAAGCAAGGATGTAACAAAAATAAACAAATAAAAGGGAAGAAAACTGATATAAAGCGAGTATAGATGTTCAATTTTGTTCATCCCCCGTCTTGTGATTGGAAGGCATAGAATGTAATTGATTCAAATGAGAAGATAGAAGATAAACTATACCTTAACAATGAGAACCAAACAAAGGAAGATATGTGAAGGTATATATATATATATATATAGAGGAAGAGTCAGGGAAGGAAAAATGCCAAAATTTTTGGTGAGAATGGAAATGTAAAATTTATGAAGAGAAGAGAAGGATTAGGAGAAAATGCAGAATGAAAAGGATTGAAAAAAGAAAAAGGATGATAAAAATGAAAAGAATTTGGTTTTGGTTTTGCAGAGTTGGAATGGAATGGCAGAGGATACTTCTTACCAAACCAACCGCGCGCAACCTGCAATTGCCGTTGTTCCTCGTATGTTTTTGTCTTCGTCTAACCAGCATCGGAATGCCACGTGGCGTTCCACATTTCAATTTCACGTAAGGACTATTATGCCCCCTCTAAAACATCTTGCAATGACGTGAGGCTTTTACCTAAGTTTTATTTTATTTTTATTTTTTTGGTAAGCTAACTAAGTTTTATTTTACTTAACGATAATATGCATCAATCTTTTACTTTTAATCTTTTTTTTTTTGGTGAAGGATCTTTTACTTTTACTTTTACTTTTAATCTACCAAAAAAAAAGAGAGTACATATAATTATATTATTTTAGTTTAAACTATAGCATTTATGGTGAGAGAAACACAAATTATGATGGGAGAAAATGGATTTTTTTTTAATTTAAATATTAAATAAATAATAATAATTTTAACTAAAATAAATACCCTTTAAAAGAATAAATATTTTTCTAATAATAATATTATATTATGTAATTTTTTTATAATGTGCACATTAATGTGAAAAACTTGTATAATTTTTTTAACCATATTCAAATGTGTAAAAAACTACAAATAATTTACAATGTCACAAATTAAATACATATTATTAGGAAAAATGTAAGTCTGTTGTTATAGGAAAACAAAATTTTCTCTTGCACAGAGATCAAAATACATGCTAGCAATTTATTTTTATTTTTTTTTTAAATTAATGGACCCCACTTAGTTGTATCAACTGAAAAAAATTCTTCATTCTTGTAACACGAGAAAATGCAACCCCTATTATTAGTTGTTAGTGTCGTTTGCAAAGGCAAAAAAAAATGTCATTTGTATAAATAAAATTAATGATATATTAAAATGATTATTAAATAATTAACAATTTTAATAGCATAAAACTGTTTTAATAATTTTATACATCTATATAACTGCTGATAATGTAAATTTATTTTAAACAATGGAAGACATTTTAATATCTACATATCCCAAATAGTTCTCGCCAACTCAATTTCTCTGTTGATTTGAAGCTATACTTGTAGTTCAGTTTTGATATCCTAAAAATGGGGGAGAAAAGTGTTCTATGATACCTGAACTGATTGTGGTTTTGACACCTTAAAGAATATTTCATTTCTACATCGAACCATCAACCATGCCATAGGCTTGACTCATAGTTCGTGATCACACTCCTAACTTAAAATATATTACATTATTACTTATCAACAAAGGGGGTTTGTTGACAGAGTAATATAACCTAAATTTGTAGTTCGTTGATTGTGCTCTCCATACTCATTTGAACTTGCAAGTTCATATTTGTACTAATGAAGCACATAAAGAATAAACTGCAGTTTGTAAAAATCATGTTAAACATAAAAGTCCGTTTGTGTTATCAAAAAAAAAAAAAAAAAAAGTCCGTTTGATCCAATTTTAACTTTAGGAAATTGTTTGTTTTTTTTAATTATAATTATCGGAATATAGTAAAATAAACCCCTCAATGTTAATTTTCGTAACTAACTATTTCCATTTTCCATTTTTCTTAATTGGTATTTATGTATCTGATAATTGTACTAACAAAAAATGACAATTAAAAAGAGCGAAAAAAATAAAAAAGCCTGCAAAATATCTTTCCAAAATTAAAGAGTATTGACAGATGTGAAACTGATAATTGTACACATTAATATTTATTTGCGGGAGGGTTCTTTTGACTTCAGAGTAAGACTTTCCATCTCAGCCGTTGATGGACAGAAATCAACGATTATCATTTATAGTGTAATTAATAATTAATTAACTAATATATCTTTCTAAACTATAATCGTTGGATGGACGAAAATCAATGGCTAGGATAAGGAGTAAGACTTATAAGCCTTACTCTGGAGTCAAATGATCTCTCCCCTTTATTTGCTTGATGCTTCGGGAAGAGAGGTGTTTTTTTTTTTAAATTTAAGTGAGGATATTCTAACTATAAAAAATTTTCACTACTAACTTACTACTCATTACATCATCATTTGATCAAAGAGAGAGAATGTGAAAAGTTTTTGAAGAGAGAAAAAATGATTAGATAGATAGTAAAAAATTTTGGTAACGAGAATATCACTCCTATTAAATTTTAAGAAAACACATGTACTAAAAATTATTATTTTTTATTTTTTTAAGAAAACACAAAATAGCTTCCAAATATTGTAGTGATAAAAGTATAATTGTATTCCAAAAATGACAGCTGTGGGATTTGAACCCACGCCCTTTCGGACCAGAGCCTAAATCTGGCGCCTTAGACCACTCGGCCAAACTGTCCCTTGTGTTGATGTAATCGCTATAAAATTATATAACCAATTAATTTACATGTCAATATTTTCCCCCTAAGTACTAACATTTGGTTAATTTTGTGTACCTGAGTCCGTGTGTGTGTAACGTATTATGATTTTTTAAGTGATAATAATCACTGGATAAGCTATTGTAAATTTTCTTAGAAAATTTATAACGTCTTAAATAAATCATTTAAGAAAGAGAACAAATGAAATTATATCATAAATACATTGATAAATAATGTAGAAAAAAAGTGACTTTAACTATGAAAAGTTTCCTTCATTTTATTCTGAAATTACCAAAGAAAATGAAAAAAAAAAAAAAATCGATTAAGAAATGAGAGATAGATTAACATTATTGCTAGAGAATTGATGAATATGATGCAGAAAATACTATGTAGACATTTATTGTGCGAGCTTAATGATTGGAAAAACATTAATTTAGTCGAAAATCTGATTTACAAGATAGGATAAAAATATAAACTTTGATTAAAGTTATATTTATTTTGGGAATAGATTCTTTCATATGAAATGAGTTCATGTAAGAGGTTATTAGCCGTCCAGATGCAAATGAATTGTGATGAAAAAATCCATTAAAATTAGGTGTGTAAATGGGCTGGGCTAGACTAGACTTTGGCTTAAATAGGCCAGGCCTGTGTAAAAAGCATTGGGTATGACCTGACCTATTAGCCTGTGTAGGCCCCAAATTACAAGTCTGGTCTGACCTATATTTAAAAAATAAAAGCCTTAGCCTAGGCCTGTTTAAACTTTTTAAACATTCAAAAATTAAAAGAATAACTAAAATAATATTATTTTATTATTCAAAATTATTAAAATAATAATTTTATTTATTATATTTTAAATAAATAATATGATATAGGTCGGCTTGTAGGCTTATAGGTCAGACATGTACAAAAAAGCCTATGACCTATTTTCTAAATAGATATTTTTAAAAGCCTAAGCCTGTTCTATTTTACTATTTATAATAGGCCAATCCTTGCCTAATATAGGCTAGGCCGTAGGCCCCTGAAGGCCGGCGTAGCCCATTTACACCCCTAATTAAAATAAAGGATGAGAAAATGATAATGATAACTTGAACAACACATGCTTGGGTGTAAGTTAAAAAACACTGGTTACAATTCATACACATTCAGCATACAAGCTTGATTTATAAGTTATCTCGAATTTGAATGCCATATATTTTAGAGTCCAAATACTCGATACACATAAATCAATCAACCATTGTTGGATAGTGGCTAGGGGAGCCTAAATTGGGGAGAATACTATTCACGCATCAAATGGGTTTAAGAGACAAACTCATAATAAGTGATCTGACATCACATATCAACCCAAAATCTTGATACATTGGGTTCATGAGTCATTTCGCTTATATGTATCATTCCTTGCTTATTTTTTCTCGATGTAGGACTTTTTATCACTCACACTTGCCAATAATCTCTTATTCAAGTGTGAATCTCATAACTCTCAACTTTCTCTTAAATTTCTTCGAGTATTGATGGAATAACCAAGCAAGAGAGTCCTACAATCATCCTCTCCAAATACTTAATAAACACATGTCAATCAATCATTAACTATGTTATCACTTTTAGGCAGTGGCTACGGAACCCAAATTAGGGGAGATTACCATACGGTTCCCAATCCCAAGATGTCTAGCCCCCTAGGGTTCTTCTCACCTCAACTTCAAAGGTTTGTGAATTTGTGCTCTAATCCGAAAATAAAAGGTTTCAATGTGTTGGAAATCGACAATTATACCCAAATCGCAAACGAAAAGAGAAAGAGAGAATTGACACAGTAATTTACCTGATTCACTCAATTTAGGCTGTGTCTAGCTTGACTGTACTATATTCACCTCACCGTCACTCGTTACAAGTCACTCAGTTTATAAGGAGAATATAAATAGGATTAGAAAACCTTAACAACAATTGCCTTTTTGCTGATCCCGACAATAAGGACCCTCATCAGCTTGCGAAGTACGAGCCATACCTAACAGAGTAAAACATGGAGCTCTCGACTTTCCTTTTATGCGATGGAGAAATTGACCCAAGAGAAAATAAGTTATAGGGAGAAATTTTCACCAACGCTTAGGTGATCTTGACCGGAGAAGAAAAGGAGGAAATTTTGGTGAGTTTACTAGGGTTGGAAACAGTGGCGGACCCAAGAAATTTTCTTTATGTCTGCACACTCAGGGCGGGAGTTCGGGGGTGCCGTCCTCGGTTTTTTTTTTAAAGATCATAATCATGATCCAATTTTTACTTCCACTTCAAAAGTAAAGCTTTGGTGAATCAATCAAAGTTTTAAGGAAATAATCAATAATAATAATTAAAATATAAATAAACACCACAAAAAGACATTTGTAAAATATAGTATAATTGTAGAGGTTAATCGATCAAAAACTCACCTTTGTCGATGTCTATTTGATACAAAGTTGACCAGTTTTGTTTCATAAAAAAAATGAAAAATCTTGTGTGATTCTCCTCCACTCTTTATCCTTTTCTTTTTAATCTTCCTATTTTTATTTTATTTTTACTTGGCTTGAATCACACACTCTATGTAATTTTTTTCTTTCTTTCTCAATTTTATGTCTGCGTGTAGACAATGAAACCAACCTAGGTCCACCATTGGTTGGAAAATGGGTGTATACGATTTTTTTAATTGGAAGAGAAAGAAGGCATCAAATTCTGTTCATAAATGGTAGCCGAAGCCCGTAGGAAGTGTGAATAGTTATTTTGAAACTTCGAGAAAGGGAAACGAAAAATAAAATAAGATGGTTTGGGTGTGGGTGAGTCTACATCAAGTATGGTGCGTGCAACTTCAACATGCACCCACTTGATCCTAATGTCATGGCTCTAACAACTTGAGTGTACAGGACTACAAGAGTTGTTTGTGCCTCTGAGCACCTGTTTTCATGTCCATAGTTAAGATTCTTGGATTTCTAGTTTAACCCCATATTCTTCAAATTAAAAGGACACCCCATGAATCACCTACAAAATTATTAAAACTCCTGTTCACTTAAAATTAATTAACCTTGGGTTAGTGGAATAAGGGCTTCATGACTCTCCAGCGGTAGGAGAAATTTTTTTTCTCTGGTTGACCCATTGAATTTTGTGCTAATCCTTTTTGTTTTATAAATGGATCCCACATATTTTTTTTGTCCAAAGACAATGACTCTCCTATTGCAATAGAGTCATTTAACCACGTGAAGTAGGGGTGTTCATAAACCGATCCAAACCGATTTAAACCGCAAAAACCGAACCGAAAAACCGAAAACCGAAAACCGAAAAAAATTACTGGATTGGATCGGTTTTCGATTTTGATGTTAAAAACCGATCCAATCCAAACCGATCCAAACTTTTTTTTTACCAAATAATAGCCGGCCCAAAGTTTTAAACCCACCCGTGCGTTAGCCCATCAGTTTTAAACCCACCCAAAGTTCTAAACCTAATCCATCCAAACTCACTCTTGTCGTCCTCTTAGTCTCTCACTCTTCTCAGTCACTCACGCTCTGGCACCAGTAGCATATCTCTTTCTTCTCAAAAATCAACGTTTGTCTCTTCCGTTAAACAACCAAATAAACATATAACAAAGGTACTATAACACTTGATTTTATTTGCATCAAGGGCATGATAAAGGTATAGCAAAGCAGATTTCTAAATTTCTTCCCGTTATTCGTGTGATGAAGCAATAATATTTTCCTTCATTTTTCGTTGGTTTCAAACAATCGCCTTTTATTTTGTGTGGCTGTGACATAACGTTTTTTAGATCTCTCGCGTTCTCTGCGGTTCTTCTGCTTCTAATCCATGTGAACCAATTCTGATAACCGTTTCACATAATCTTTGATTTTGTGTGGCTGTGACATAATCTTTGAGCCTTTAACTGATGTACAAGACATGTGAAGCAATTCTGATAACCGTTTGAATTTTGAAATGTTTTGAAACATCGTCACTTTTTTAAAAATAATTCTTTTAAGTTATGTTTTTTGGGCTTTTCAAAAAACCGAAAACCGATCCAATCCAAACCGAAAAAAATTGGATCGGATTTGAAAAAAAATTCAAACCGATCGGATGATGTAATGACCAAACCGAAGGAATTGGATCGGATGGTTTTTTGCTTCAAAACTGATCCAATCCAGGCCGCGAACACCCCTACCGTGAAGTAATTGTCAATGAAGATACATAGGTCAAAATGGAACAAATAACTAAAACAAATGCTAAAAAATGTAAGCGGTCAAATAAATTGGGATTTTAATTAGATGTAAGATGACAAAATCTCATACTCTATTAGTTTTAATATTAATTATTTCAAATATAATATTCTTAGTTGTTTTGTTTCATGAATATCTAGCGGCAAAATATTTTTCTTGAAGTAAATTGATCGATTAAACCATAATAAAAAATAATCAACTGTATCTTTTTTTTCTAATTAAAAGTAATTTCTCAATTTATCAAATGCATCTCTACTTAAAATAATAATTAAGATCAAATAATTATTATCAAAACTCAAACAGCATAAACAAATTATAAAGTATAAGAAGCTGAACTCATATAAGCTTTACACGTGCTGCTGTTGGACAAATAAAATAATAAACACTAAAGATCCAAAATCTAAATAAGAATAATTTAACAAAAAAAATTACTAGAATATTTCGGGTTTCATCTTCTCTTTTATAGAGAATTTAATTAATTGCACATAACTTCTTTACGGCACAATATCAATACTGTCCTTCTTTCACTCCTCTAATGTTGCTTATTCGACTCTACTTTGATGTTCTTTATGTAATTCTCTCTTCAATTATATTAATTTTTCTGAATCCAAAACTAATATCACTTTTTTTATATATAGTGTTTCAGAATTTTTGTACTATGCATAGTATTGGGTAATTCATGGTTGACCAGGAAAGAAAATTTATTTTTTGTCTCCCTAAAAATCTGCCAAAAATAAGAAATTGTTTTTAAAAAGAAAACTACCACTTGTTGATATCTTCCTGAAATATTATTAAAATTCTATTAAGTATCAAAACTATTTAATAATTTATCTCTCTTAATAAAATAAAAATAAATATCTTATCACTAAATAAATAATTAATTAACACTTTATTATTTTATATTAAATAATTATCTTTTTTTTTGACATTACAGGGAATCGAACCGCACACCTAATACACACTAAACACACCCAACACCACTAGGCTATCCCTTGTGGTGCATATTAAATAATGGGATAGGATATTGTGACACCTAAGTTATGTTACACCCATGTGACACCCAGTCAATCTCATCGTTAGATCGCTTATATTGATCCAACGGTTATATTTATTTCCATCTTTGTATGGTCATGATTTCTCAAATTTAATATTTTATATTTATTTCTACCTTTGTATGGTTATGATTTCCCATATTTAATGCTTTCACTTTAAATTTGGAAAATCATGATCATACAAAGATGGAAATAAATATAACCGTTGGATCAACATAAGCGATCTAACGGTGAGATTGACTGGGTGTCACATGGGTGTAACATAACTTGGGTGTCACAATATCCTATCCCTTAAATAATTATCTAAACCTTTATATACTATAGGTATTTGTTCTGGATAAGTGTATTCGGCCTAACATGAGCTAAAGTCCGCACACCATACTCATCAATAATTAACTAACTGGAACAGCTAAAGTTCTTTTATTCAAAAAATAAAATTATTAATACGAAAGAGGATTGTATTTATTAATTAAACATAGGGTATAATATAATTCTTCATGTCTTATAATTGAAAACAGAATTCTAAGCTTTGTTAGAAGCAGATTCATGGCCAGCATTACATTTTGGTAAGCATCTCAGAATTATATTACTTGGACGTGGTTTATAAGTAGAGAAAAATTCTGGATCATGTTCAAGTGATTCAGTATAGCTCTCCAAAAGTGAGACAATCTCATCAAAATGTGGCCGTTTATCTGGATTGCTTGACCAGCATCTGTTGATGAGATAACCAAATGCCCGTGGACAGTCACATGGTAACGGAGGCCTTGCATTCTGCACAAAATCCACCACATTGAGTTACTAGTAATGGACCCAAAAAAATTATGTTTATATTGAAGAAGCCCCCCACAACTATAATTTCAAATAGAATCAAGGACAGAGACATCACAACTAATACATGAAGCACTTCTAAAAACATATATAATGGCTGGGCTAACCATGTCCTATGAGAAAATAGCAACATAACCCAACCCATCTTCAGTTATTTAGTATTTTATATAGCGACCTAAAGTATATGTCTAGGATACTGCAGCATGTGCACAAACAATGAACGTGAAAAGTTAGACTGGTCTAAATATAAATACATATATATTCTCGCATCTATAACTTGATTTTGGTACATGGTTGTGATGTTCTATGCATGTGGGAGAGAAGGCAGGGGAGTTGGCAATGATTGATTTTGATGAACATGGATAGCAGATACCGAATCTTGAAATGGATGTCAGGCAAAATAGAGAGGTCTCAACCCTTGGTGTAAGCAAGGCTATCATAAACATAGGCTATGTTACATAGCCACATGCTGTGTAAAGCTCATAGTATCATACATAATGAATGATAGTTTCCGAACTACACATTTGAAAAGCGCACGGGGAACATTAGTTATGAAAAGTACCCACTCAAATTACAGAAGATAATAGAACTGAGCACGCAAACATGTGCATGCAATGATATATTGGGCAAAGAGAAATTTAGTTTGCAACTTACCAAAGAGAAATTTAGTTTGTATTTCAATAGTTTAACACCTAGCAACGTCACTATACATGTAATTGATTTAGACAAGTAGTTAATATATATTGGGCTTAAAAACTGGAATGAAAGGATATGATGAACAATTACAACATCAGTGATGCAAGCTTTGTGCAGACTATTCTAGGCATATTCATAGAACAACTCACATAGTAATAGTTTCTTACAGGTGGAATAAGAAGATTGATAATCTGACATATCCATGCAATTGCCACACTTCGATTTCATTCCCAATAAGAATATGTTTCCATAGGATTAAGTAAATTTGGAGGCAATACCTTGTGGGTCACTGCAAATGCTGCCTGCTCTGGTGTCATGTTGTCAAATGGTGTAAGTCCTGTTAAAAGCTCCCATAGAACTATGCCAAAACTATAGACATCTACTTTCTTGGTATGACGCTTTTCTTTGATCATTTCAGGTGCCATCCAACGGTAAGTTCCTGTAAATCCTTTCACACTGCCACACTGGGATTCTAAGCATGATATCCCAAAATCTGCTACTTTTACACACATATCTTCCCCCAACAGCAGATTTTCTGATTTGAGATCCCTATGAAGTATACCCTGAGAATGAAGATATTGCATTCCTCGTGCAATGTCTAAGGCTAATTTCAGAGCAAGTTCGAGAGGAAGTGAATGTGGTCCTTGCTGATGCAGGTAATTTCTCAGCGAGCCCCCAGCCAAATATTCAGTAATTATACAGAATACAGGAGGTTTCTTGCAAGCTGCAACAAACTAGAGGACCAATACAATGTCAATATCTGCGAGAAAATGTTTAATTTCTTTATTATCCAGTACTTGCAAATGATACACATAAAGCATTCTCTTCTCTTTAATAAAGCTAACTCTACTCTTAGCATTAACTGCTAGCACACTCATGTAATAGGCCACAATGCCACACTATCATCAACTATAAAGAGAATGAATGCGGGGCTAAACAGCTCTCGTTCAGTAATTACTTGATCAGGAACAATACACACAACAAATCAAAATCACAATTCTTGACTATGAATTTAGGGGATAGCCTAAATCCAAGATGAATCTCGATGCTCTTGCTCAGTTTCAAGCAATTGTAATGGACTAGTAGTACACATAAGGTTTTGTAACGTGTTTGTTACTCTCTTTTCCTGAATAACAGAAGCAATGCAAATGTAGTAAATTCATCTTTACTCCACAATTCCTTTTTGTTGATAATTTATTCGTTTTTCAATGCTTCATCCAAGAAATTTCACAGTACCCAAATAGCATAGCAAGTTAACATAGCATCTACAATGGGGTCTGAAGTGGTAGCAAGGTGACCTTAGTATCATTGAACAATAAAAAATCCAAAGGGTTCGGGGAGATAAAGAATGCGACCCTTTTAATAACCCAAAAAAAATATAAAAAAAAGCAATAACAGGGTCGTGCTCGAAATGAATATATGATAAAAGGACATAAAGATGGAGGATCAAAGTTAGTATATTCCATGCACAGATAGATAGAGATGGTTAAAAAAGAAAAAAGAAAAAAACAGAACTTACAGTAATGATATTTGGATGGCGCAATCGTAACAGCAAAGAAACCTCGGAAGTAAATTGCTTGTCAAGCAAAACAGCCAAGTCCTCATCCTCCTCTGGTTCACTTACCAGTTTAATAGCCACATCCATGCGCTTATAGATGCCTCTGTATATCCTGCTATGCCTTCCAGAAGCAAATTTGGACCCAATGAATAACTGAGACATATCAGCACTCCATTCTTCTTCTCCTTCTCCCTTTATGGCTGCTCCCGAGGAGACCAGATACTTGGACCATGACACTGCTTGCTTGTATTCCCCTAGAGAAAGCCTTCTACCTGACCTCACGTTGTTAGAGATTTCTTTAAACCAGTAAAATTTCTTCATTGTTAAGAGCTTATTCTTATCAAAATCATCAGATTTTCAACCCTGTAAAGACCCTTGAACCCAATGCAGATCCCAAAAACTAGACTGTAGTTTTAAACAAATGCACCATTTGCATAATACCCAGTTGGGAAAACCTTGGTTTTCATAGCTTGAAATAGTTACTGAGGAAGCTACATTTTGAATAACTCTCCTTACCTATTGCATTTGGAAAAAAAAGGAGAAAAGAAGAAGAAGAAAGAAACCATCTCTTCCTCCTGTTTTTAATTGTGTGAAACAGAATTATATTATAATTATTCCTTAGTAAACAACGAAACAAATGAAATCACAATGATCTTTGGCATTTTCCTTCACTTACTGACACCACCCAAAAGTCCAAAACGAGAACAGTTTTGTGGTGTAAAAAAAGATAGAAGAAAACAGAGATTTGAGCCCTTTTGTTAATAAATCCTAAAAAGAAATCTAAGAAATTCAAAACAAAACAAAACAACCTAGGACAAAGGAAAACCTCCCACTTGAGGGGTTTTCATGAAACGAAAAATGTTTAGAAGAGGTGCCGCAGGGGCAAAGATACGTTGGGGGGTGATTTGAAAGTGGAAGAGAGAGAGAGAGAGAGAAGGCAGAAAAATTGGCAAGGAATTGAAGTTGAAGATGGGAAGGGAGAGAGTGGTAAAGTTAACGTTGGATGGTGTAGGAGCAGGAACATAGAAGATGGTGGGTGTCTCAGGTGAGCAGTGAAAACTGAAAAGGGAAAATGCAAAGAAGTGGGGTGTTGTTTGTTGCTACCTCTCTCTCCAATTACACTGACAATAGTATCTACGTTCCTAACGTGCGAAGATACACTTCTGAGGCGACACACCGGGTCAGCTTCATCATGACCCCCAACCTTTACCCTTTCTTATTCTATTTTCTTCCCATTTTCAATTTATATTTTCCTCTTATATTTTGATTTATCCTGATTTTATTTAGGATTTACTATTTTTCATATTATAATAGATAATTTAATTATCTTATGTAACATACAAAATATTAATCTATTTTATTTATGAAAATATTAATTTTCATGTTATATGAGATAATTTGTTTCATGTAACCCAAAAAAAAAAAAAAAGATTCACTTATTTCTTTATTTTTTTTCTTAGTGGGTCTCAATTTTTTTTTTTTTTTATTATATCATATAACATTAAAAAATAATATTCTTTATTTATTTATATATCAGCAGCCAATAATTGAGGTAATTTTTGTCCTTTTTAGTAAACTGAAATAATCAATTTTGTATTTATCTTTCTTTTTAAGTAGATTCTATTTATTTATTATTTAAGAAAAGAAAAATAGACATAATCACATATTTTATTATGAAAAAAATCCATTCCAACAATAAATCAATAAATGGATAAAGATCCGTTTATAAAATTTTTTTACAAATTTTTGCAAATTACACTATGTCTGATCGATAATACTTCACTCAAGAGTGTATTACCGGTTGTAATTTGTAAGAATTTATAAACAAAAAATTTGTAAATATAACATTTTCCTCAATAAATATATCAAAACACCCCCTCCTTTCTCTTATGTGAGTTTTGTATTTTTGTATTTATCTATTTATGTATTTATTATTTTGTTTCATGCCTTCCCGTGCTTATGTGAGTTTTGTATTTGCAACATTAGTGATTCCCAAGTAGGGTTGGCAAAACAGGCCAACCCAACCTGATTCGTCCCGACCCGCATTCAATCCGAAAAAAATGAGACGGGTTAAGGTTGGCTTGAAAAAAAAAACGAGCCAGAAAACCCAACTCGACCCGAGTCGGGTTAGGGTTGGCTCGAAAATATGGCTCATGCGATGACTTGAAAAAATAGCTCGCGAGTTGACTCGAAAATTGACTCGTGGGTTGGCTTGAAAATTACTCGCGGGTTGGCTCGTTTTCAGCCTATTTAAATGATCCTGTAGTATTAGTGCACCACATTAGCTTAAACAAAAGGTTACAAAATGAGAAATAAAAGCAAAATATTTTAGTTTCGAATTTTCTTCACAACAAATTTGCATCAACATCAAGAAACAATCCGAACTAGAACCACTTGCTACCAAGTGGATAAGATATTTGAACCAAACAGAGTCATCACAACCTAACAATATAAAAATGACATGGATGTGAGAAGATTAGAGACTTAGGTTTAGAGAAAGAAGAAAGATGATGACAACATATGTGGGTTTTGTCTATTTTTATATATTATATTTTTTATTTTTTATAAAATAATAAAAAAAAACCTCAACCCGCAGGTTGGCTCGTTTTTTTACAAACTAAAGTAGGTTGATCACTCAATTTTATCAATTCAACCCGACTCATTTTTTACAGATTACGAGCCAACCTCTCAGATTAGGAGCCAATCCGTGTTTTTGCCAACTCTATTCCCAAGTTCTATTTTACGTTTGAAGTAGGAACAACTATTTCAATGGTGGAGAGTCAAAAGACTCAAAACTATAATAGCTCTTTTGATATGCGTATAACAATAAGTTTTTTTCTTTTTTCTTTAGGTGAAAAATATCATGTTTATTGACTAAATTGCGTGGCTTTTGATTGTTATGTCAAAAAATTTAAATGTTTACTCATTATGATAACCTGCCCAATTTATTTACCTTTTGGGTTACAGAAACACACTAAATACCTGCTGAACCCATCTTGCTGCCGTGTGATTATCCATTCCCATTTTATTAAAAATAAATTCGATTCATTATTAATTCATTCCACGTAAAAATTTGATTTGTTATCAATGCTAATAGTAATAAAATTGAATCTAATTCTATGCTAATCTATGAATTATTAATCACGTTTCTTTATTTTACACGCACTTTACTGTGATAAAATCTTGATGAATATTACAATAGACATGGTTATATTTATAAATTAATTTAATGTGAAAATATGATTATTTTTTCATATCAATTTAAATAAATTTAAGTATTTTTATATGATTCTCAAACTTAGAAAAATATAAATAATCAATTAAATCAATACGATTGAATTTTAATAAATTCGATTGATGTAATTCTTTTATAAATGGATCAACCTTAAATTGAACATGTTACTAAATGTGAAGAGCAAAATTTAATACCAGATATCGTTGTATCTCTTTAGTCATACTCTGGCTTATTCACCTAGCTCGCTGCAATTCATAAGAGACTTTATCAGCACTATCTATCACAATTAAAACATTGTCCTAGTTTACCATTTTTTCAATCAAAATATAAACAATAATTCATTCAAGATCATGGAAGCAATAAGCAAAATATACATATTTGAATTAGGAAATAAAATTTGGAACGTAATTCATAAACTGGGCACGTAGTTCAGGGTAGTTAAACCTACCTCTAATAAATAAAATCTTAGCCACTCATGATTCTAAATACAAAAAAGCTTTAGTTGGATAACAATGAAATCTTCACTTCGAGTCTTGTCATTTTCGGACCTTCGTCCGCAATCTTCTCTGTCTCTTCCTTTTTTCGTTCGTTTTCATTCCCTTTATTTCTTCCACACAGCAGACTATTCACTTGCTGGGATGTTCAATTTTCATGACTCAGTTATCTGAATAACACAACCAAAGACTAAAAATAAAGAGACTTGTTAATAATTTTAAAATAACTTTAACGGTATATTGTAAAATAACTATCGTTGCATTATGCCTATTATGACGAATTCATCATGATGAGTTTAGTAGCATTAATTTTTCCAATAGATAATTAGACATAGATCCAAGCCTCCAAGTCATAGCAAGTAAAAGTAATAACGCCTGGCCTCCCCCCAAAACAGTTAAATAAATTTCATATAAATAGTTGAATAAGTTAAATATATTATTAATAAATTTATGATTAACAATATATAAATGAATGATTCATTTTGATAATTAATTGATAATGTATGTTTACCTTACACCTTCTAGGTGCAGCCCAAAGTACTTTATTATATTGAAAATTATGCAAAATTGATTTTGATGCATCCCAAATGACTTTACTGACCTTAAAGACGAAGCCAATGATAGTTTTTTTTTTTTTTTCCCGGAGACAAGGGCATAGCCCAAAACAAAAAAGCAAATAAACTACAAACGAGAAACTCTATAAGAGAACTAAAATTAGAAAAATACAAACACTTAATATCAGCAGGAGAAGATTAAAAAGTCAAATAGTCATCTTATTCCATCCTTTCTAGCAAAATATTAGCCAGTCAATCCGCGCAATAATTACTTTCTCTATATGTATGCACCAGTTGAACTATCCAGTTATTTGATAGCCATTCCCGTATCCAAGTTACAAGTCAAGACTCAAAGGATGCATCACCAAATTTGGTGAGCAGAGTGATAGCAGTTAGGGTTGACAAAACGGGCCAACCCGGCCCGACCCGACTCAACCCGAAAAAAACGAGCCGGGTTAGGGTTGGCTCGAAAAAAAAAACGAGCCAGAAAATCCAACCCAACCCGACCCGAGCCGGGTTAGGGTTGGCTCGCGAGTTGGCTCAAAATATGGCTCGTGAGTTGGCTTGAAAAAATAGCTCGTGAGTTGGCTCAAAAATTGGCTCGCGGGTTGGCTCGTTTTCAATCTATTTAAATGACCCTGTAGTATTAATGCACCAGCTATGTGGCTTCCATCAGTTTAAACAAAGGATTACAAAATGAGAAATAAAAGCAAAATATTTTAGTTTCAAATTTTCTTCACAACAAATTTGCATCAACATCCAAAAACAATCAGAACCACTTGCTACCAAGTGGGTAAGATATTTGAACCAAACAGAGCCAGCAACATTTAACAATATAAAAATCACAGGGATGTGAGAAGATTAGGGACTTAATTACGTTTAGAGAAGGAAGAAAAATGATAACAACATGAGTGGATTTTGTCCATTTTTGTATATTATACTTTGTATTTAAAAAAAAAAACCCAACCCGCGAGCTGGCTCGTTTGACCCGCGGGTTGGCTCGTTTTTTCACGGGTCGAAACGAGCCGGGTTGGTTCGGGTTGGCAGCTCATTTTTGCCAACCCAACCCGACTCATTTATGGCGGGTTACGAGCCAACCCGATGGGTTGGCTCGTTTTTACCAACCCTAGTAGCAGTAGATGAATCACTTTCTAGTATAATCCTCCAACCACCATTCCAGGCAAGTTTCAGCCCTTTAAATATCCCCATAATTCAGCAGTTAAAGCATTGCAAAAACCCATATTGTAAGAAAAAACATTTAACCATCTCCCATCTGACTCACGAATCAGCCCTCTACAAGTAGCCGTACCAGGATTAACCTTTGAAGCACCATCTGTATTTAGCTTAATCCAATCAGCATCTGACGGGACCCATTTGACTAGAACCTCACTATATCCCCTATCCATTCTACCTCCGTTCATGTCAAAGACAACAACCCAAATTTCCAGCACTTTGAACCTAATTACATCAAGATTATATCTACTTTTAGCCGTACCTGAACCATGAACTATTTCATTCCTCCACCATCAAGTCATCCAGCAAGTAACACCAAAAATAGTCTCCCAATGAACGCCAAACAACCTTAGTGATTTATAATATTATTAAAAGAAAAAAAAGTGAGAATAAAAATAAATAGTAAAAAATAGATTTTTGTAAGATCTGTGTAAAAATATTTGTATAAGCAATATTAGTTTTAATAGTAGGGTATGAATTGTGTTTCAATTGATTCATTATATAATTAAAAGGAAAAAAAGAAAAAAAAATTGACTATCATTCATTATTATAGAAAATTTATGATATT